ATGAAGTGGTATCTGTAGTCTTCCTGATCTGTATCACTTGGATACTCGTAGAAGTCTTCCCCACTGGAAGACTGCAATTCTATTGCTAATGCAATTATATAGGGACACAGGAATTATATAGTAATTCCTTACAGATAGGGTTCTTAGTTATTATAAAAACCATAAGATCAAATGGACTAACATGGATGGGGACCTTTTTTCTGCCAAGGGCCATTTGAATATTTATAACATCATTCTTGGGCCATAAAAATTATCAACTTAAAAATTAGCCCTGGCCAGTTTGGCTCAGCAGTTAGAGAGTCGGCCTGCGGTCTGGAGAGACCCGGGTTCGGTTCCCGCTAAGGGCACGTACTTCGGTTGCAGTTTGTCCCCGGCCCTGGTTGGTCGTGCGGGTGGCAGCCACTCGATGTGTCCATTCACGTCGATGTTTCTGTCTGTCTCTCCCTTGCTCTCTCTCCCTCCCACTCTATCTGTACAAAAAATGGAAAAATATCCTCGGGTGAGGATTAAAAAAAAAAAAAAATTAGCCTACTAATATTTGGTTAAGCTAATTTGGTGAGGCTTGTGACATTAGCTGGTACTGATTTCACAGGCCCTATACAGCCGGACATTCCCCACCCCTGGTCTAAAGGGTCAGTAAAGTGGCAGGAGAGAAATAGATTCAGTACAGAAGAAATTGAATAATCAATGACCTTGGAGATTTCAGACAAATCAGATTTTCTACTGAAGGCAGAGATATAAATAGCATAAACATAACACAGACAAGTAGAAACAAAAGCCACCAATTCAACTTTTTGTTGAAAACTTGTTGGGTCTAGAAAACTGTTCAAACCACAGCTGCTAATGGTTATGGATTTGGCAATCAAAATGTCTTTGTTTTTTAAAAAAGTTTTAACTGCCTTACTATTGAGGTTACAAACCGCAGCCTTGATGCATTGTTGCAGTTAACATCCTCCCTGCTGTTTTTGAGAGCTTACATCTGCTGCTGGCAGATAAAACGCAGGCAAACGGCATGGGCTCCTTCCAGGGGAATACAGAAGTTTTAACTAGATGGCTCTTGTCTACCTCTGTCTCCTGAGTTGAGCCTACAGTGCTTTCTATAGCACTCCTACCTTGTCTAGGTTGATCCCCTGCTATTACTCAGGAGGGCTGAAGGTCTAGTGAGATTTTTTTCCTGGCACAAATCAGCCATGCCAGCCATACTATTCTTAGAAGATAAAAGGAAGACAAATTCTTAGCTCAGGGAAAAGTACTTTAAGCACATATTTTAAAGACACTTATAGTATAGTGCACTTGATTTTTAACAACCATTAATAAAACCTTTTCTGTTATAAAAAAAAAAGGAAAAAAAAAACTGATCACACTATGCTGAAAATAGTGAGGGCTTAGTATATTTTAACTAAGCAAAGAAGGGCCAAGAATGCGAGGTCAGAAAGTAAGTTACTGAGTTTCTTTGGGGAAGAGAAAAGTTAGGAACAAGATGGAGAAGTTAAATGTGGTCAAAGTCACACAGAAGATTACTTTCAGTTGAAATAAAAATTACTATATCCATACTGGTTTTCAAAGAAAATGCAACTCAGCCCTGCCGGTTTTGCTCAGCGGTTAGAGCACTGGCCTGTGGACCAGAGAGTCCCAGGTTCGGTTCCCACTAAGGGCACATACCTCAGCTGCAGTTTGTCCCAGGCCCCAGTTGGAGTCGTGTGGGTGGCAACCGGTCGATGTATCTCTCTCACATGGATGTTTCTCTCCCCCCCCCCCCATCTGAAGATAAATGCAAAAATGTCCTCGGGGTGAGGATTTAAAAAAATGCAGTTCAGCTGGGTGATGAGAAATGAGTGTGGAAATGCAGAAAGAAGACTTAGGTCAAGAAAGTGTCTCCTGGATGATTCTCCCTCAATAAGCTGACCTAGTGGATCAAAGAAAACCAAATATACCCAGAGTAGCACTTTCTAAGCTGTACATACCATAAGATACCAGTTCTGCAGTATTCAAGTAGGTAGTGTTTGTGTGTATGGGGCTGGGGTTGGGGAGACAGAGACTGTGGTCAAGTTTTGTGAACACTGCAAATTATATCCACCAGATATATCAGAGAGTTATATCAGAGAGTCATAATACAGTAGCATATTAAGGGCTCTGAGAAGTTCTCTGGTAAACAAATTTATTTAATCCAAATACATTTTCCAAATGTATGTGTCCATGAAAACCTCACAAACCCCACACTCCCTATTTTTTTTTTTTTTTTTTCAGAGAACACCTATTTGGGAAATACTAGTCTAGGGTTATCATTCCTAAACTCTCAACTCATTCTTGCAGAAATGAGAATAAGGTTGGTAAAACAGACTAGGCAATCACATTTCATACATCACAGAACCCTAGCTCAAAGAGTGACAGGTAGATTACCAAGGGTGCTTGAGACCTTTTCCAGAAGCAGCCAAATGCCAAAGCTACAACTTTAAAGTGTAAGATTTGTACCTGAGAAACAATCACTGAATAGGGCTAATGTCAATTCTGCATACATTCATGTGCTACCTTCAAACACAGAATAGAAACAATGGGGAAAAGCCACAGAAAAGCTGACCATAGGTAAAATAAGCACGGGATTCCTGTGTTTAATGAAGCTTAGAGGCTTTTGGCATTTTGAGATATTCTAATGTTTTACATCAGGAAAATTCATAAGAAGAGTTGCCATGACCTCTAGCTAGAAACATATGAGAGTATTCCTACACTTCTATGTGCTGCTCTCAGCATTCTCAGGATAAAAAACAAGGTATAAGCTCAGGAAGGAGTATCATGCAACCCTGAAAGACAGGTAACCTGGAGAAACCAAAAAGATGTTTTGTTATTTAGAGTTCTAACCACTTAAATCTTGTGGAACTCCACAGACTAAGATTTTCTATATAAATTGTGGCAGCCTGGCTAATTGCTAGTGATATAAATCATCTGATCTTGTATCAGGTGGTGGTTTGCCTGACTGACAAATAAGAAAGTAAAGGAAGGTCCTTTCCAAAAATCACCACCCACACTGACAGATGCTCCTGGATTCTCTTTTAGAATGCATATATCCTAAGAAGAAAATATGTTATACTATGCTGTTAATGACTGTGAGTCTCTAAAATTGTAAAGCCTACACCAATGTAAGGAATTCTTATATTACTTCTAGACTAAAAAAAGAGGAGAAGGGTAGAAGAAACAAAGATACTGAAAAAAATGGGAAAAGGGCCCATAAGAAGAATTTAACAGGTACAAGAGTGTAGAAAATAAAGAGCCTCCACACATCAATGGTTTTGCCTAAGTCTAGATTAGGTGCTAAGAGCAAAAAAGACTAGAAGGAAAAAAATTAATGCTAGGCTCAGCTGGTGTTGCTCAGTGCTTGAGCGTTAACCCGTGCACCAAGAGGTCACTGGTTCGATTCCCGGTCAGGGCACATGTCCAGGTTGTGAGACAACTGCCCAGTGGGGGGGCATGCAGGAGGCGGCCAATCAATATCTCTTCTTCTCCCTTCCTCTCTCTCTAAAATCAATAAAGAAAAAAAAAAAATTCATGCTAGCTCTGGCTTGGTGTGGCTAAATGGTTAGAGCATTGGCCCATACAACCAAGGGTCGAGGGTTCAATTCACAGTCAAGGGCTTGCAGGTTTGATCCCTTGCCCCTGGCCCCTGATAGGAGGCAACCAATGAATGTATTTCTCTCACATCAATGTTTCTTTCTAACTCCCTTTCTTCTCCTCCCTCCCTCCCTTCCACTATCTTTAAAATATCAAGGGAAAAAACATCCTTAGGTAGGATTAACAACAACAACAAAAATCATGCCAAATCACATGCACTGTACTCATACATATAAAGTAATCAGATCAGGGCTGAGGAGGCAATCCACAAGAAAATGAAAGACAGAAAATTAGATAATAACTATTGCTAAAATCTGTGAAGAAAGAATAGAGAAGGTGAGATAGGAACAGTTTTTTTGTTTTTTTTAAAGCAGACAGTTATAACATTAGAGAAAGGCACGTAAGTCTGGAAAGCAAAGAATTTACTGAGAAAAACGAAGCTGAAGAACATTTTCTTAAGCCCGACTGCTTAAAGTTAACTATTCAAAGAATAGAAAAACCATACTGTTTGGTAAAACTCTTCATGCTTCAAGGATGGATCTTCCCATTTTGGATTTTTCTAGTCTGAGTCTCAATATAAGTAAGGCTCTAAATTTCAAGTTTTCCAATTAAGCTAAAGTCCTTCAGCTCCCTCTGCTGTTCAAAAATGTACTTTAGTTTTGTCAGTTCAACCTTGAATGATCAAAATAAATAAAAATACATAAATAAATACACCCACCCCAAACTTGGCACAGTCCAGGCAACCAGAGTTCAAACATTTGCTTATCATGAATTCTCTGCCCAGACCAAATGTTCCAGAATAAGTAACAACAAGTTCTACCATTCTACCACCTAAATGAAATTAATTCAAGTAAAAATTGAGGCTTTTTTCATCAAAAGCAGCAAACTTTTATTAAGGGATGAGGACCCTATACATGTTAGCTGGATTGTGGCAAAAGCTTTTAGTAGAAATGTATGTAAGCATAACTGCATTTTGTTTCTACCTTGGTCTTTTCTCTCCCCAATATTTCCTAATTAAAAGTTTATCTTCTGCCCTGGCCAGTTTGGCTCAGCGGTTGGAGCATCAGCCTGTGGTCCAGAGAGACCTGGGTTCAGTTCCCACTGAGGGCACGTGCCTCAGTTGCAGTTTGTCCCTGGCCCTTGTTGGGTCATGTGGGTGGCAGCCACTCGATGTGTCCCTTTCACATCGATGTTTCTCTTTTTCTCTCTCCCTCCCACTCTATCTGAACAAAATATGGAAAAATGTCCTCAGGTGAGGATAAAAAAAAAGTTTATCTTCCAATGTCTAAATTCAGTTGCTAGTACCTTACTATCTTCAGAATATTGTGTTGAAGGATCTAAATTTCAAGTCAGCTATGGTGGCAAACCAAACATCTAAGAGAAGTATTCTTACTCACCTGATCCTTAAATTGATTCTGGAACAAGCAGTCAATTAGGTCCACACAGCCCAGAAGACAACCTGATGGATAGTCATTGGGAAATTCCACATCTGAATCAAGAATAACAGAAGGATTAAATTTCCTTCTTTGTGACCCTGGAACTCACAAATCTGTTTTCAGTTCTGAAAAAAATCACTTTCTCTATTATCTATTTGTAGACATAATGAAAACAATGAGATTTTAATTTGGCTAAACTGTTGATACTTTAGCAAAAAAATTTGAGTGGCTGGCTTACTCCACTATCTATATCCTAAGCTATAAGAAAATTATCCTCACACCATCAAAGTTCAAGGACCCCACAACTTTCCTTCAAACAAATCAATCCCACTATACTCAACTGGATCAGACTGGTGTGTGATGATGGGTTTTGGAAACAAGCTACAGGTATCAAGAGAAAACCCATAAAAATTTAAAAAAAAAAAACAACATTAAGAATGTCAGAATAGCCCTGGCCAGTTGGGCTCAGCGGTTAGAGCATCAGCCTGAGGTCCAGAGAGACCTGGGTTCGGTTCCCGCTAAGGGCACATACCTCGGTTGCAGTTTGTCCCCGGCCCTGGTTGGTCGTGTGGGTGGCAGCCACTCTATGTGTACCTTTCACATCGATGTTTCTCTCTCTCTCTCTCATCTTCCTCGCTCTCCCTCCCACTGTATCTGAACAAAAAATGGAAAAATGTCCTCTGGTGAGGATAAAAAAAAAAAAAAGAATGTCAGAATACACAAATTTAAAACAAGCCAGTTACATATATCAGTCAAAACAGAAATATGTACTTTTGATTCTCAAAGCTTGGTTTATTATAACTTTTATAGGTGTTGCCCTGGCCAGATGACTCAGTTGGCTGGGTGTTGTCCGTGCACTGAAAAGGCTGTCGGTTCAATTCCTGGTCAGAATTGAATCTAAATTTAGTGTGCCAGGGGTGATTCCCAAAATATACTGCTTAAGTCAATCAACTTTGACTTGTCCAAATCCAATAGCAGATGACTATTTGGGTCACTCCCAATAAAAATTCTTATTTGTATGCCCTGGCCGGTTTGGCTCAGCGGTTGGAGCATTGGCCTATGGACCAGAGAGTTCCGGGTTCGGTTCCCACTAGGGGCATGTACCAAAAAAAAATTCTTATTTGTGGTTGTTCTTCCCAATCTAAAGATCCCAGAGTTTCCCTGGCCGGTTTGGCTCAGAGGTTAGAGCGTCAGCTTGAGGACCAGAGAGTCCTAAGTTTGGTTCCCACTAAGGGCACATACCTCGGTTGCGGTTTGTCCCCACCCCGGTTGGGGTCATGTGGGTGGCAACCACTGGATGTGTCCCTCTCACATCGATGTTTCTATCTCTCTCTTTCTCCTTCTATCCCTCCTGCTCTGTCTGAAAATAAATGCAAAAAAAAAAAAAAAATTTCCTTGGGTGAGAATAAAAAAAAAGAGAGAAAGATCAGAGTTTATAGTAGTCATTTTACTCTCATAGTAAAAACTAATGGGAGAATTTTCTCAGATAAAACTAAGACTGCCCTGGCTAGTGTGGCTCAGTTAGTTGGAGCATCATCCCATACATCAAAATCTTGGGTTCAATTCCCAGTCAGGGCACATATCTAGGTTTCAGGTTTGATACCGTCAGGGTGAGTACTGGAGGCAGCCCATCAATGTTTCTCTCTCTCCCTCTCCCTGGAATCAATGAAAACATATCCTTAAGACAGGGTTAAAAAAAAACCAAACTGAGACTTATTTGCACTAGTTGGCAAATTAATGCTTTCAACAGCCATCTGTGATTTGTTGTGATTTGCCACTAAACAGGACACACAGACGCAAAGTTTAAAGGCACTTTCACACTTACAGCAAAAAAAAAAAGTCACAGGAAGAAAGAAGTAAAAAACTGTGAATATCAATGACTTCGCTCAACAAAGTAAAAGTAAAAGGAGACTATATGGTGGTTACCTTTCCCACGAAGAAAACGGTATGTAGTCTGGAGTTCTGATATTTCTTGAGGGGAGGGTCTTTTGGCTGTGGCTGCTATCCAAAGTCGTCCTCTGTGAGGGGTGTACCAGCTTCTGCCTTCCACCCTTAAACAAGTATAAAATTAGCAGGAAGAATCCTAAATTCTAGTAACCCAAAAATCTCATAATATACAGCAAATCTCATAATATACCCAGTTGAACAAAACAATCTGTAGATGATACCTCAGCAAGAGGAGCAAGAGGAGTATTTTTGTTGTTGTTGTTAATCCTCACCCAAGGATATTTTTTCCACTGATTTTTTTTTTTTTAAGATAGAGTGGAAGGGAGGGGGAGAGAGAGAAAGAGAGAAACATCAATGTGAGAGAAACACACTGACTAGTTGCCTCTGGCACACGCCCTGACCAGGGCTGAAGATTGAACCTGCAACCCAGGTACGTGCCCTTTACCAGGAATCAAACCTGTGACCTTTAAGTGGTACTCAGGCCAAAACTCTAACCACTGATCAACACTAGCCAGGGAAAAAGGGGTAATTTTTGTGAAAACAATTCTCCCACAATATCCTACACTTGAGTATGAACAATGTTCTCTAGTTTTCCCTATCATCAGAACAAAGAATTCATTTCTCTCAGCTCTTTATTTTAAAAATTCGATCTCTATAACTCAGACTGGGAGCTTTCACTAGCTTTGGGACTTGTATAATCCAAATCTTCTATTTTCAAGGCATCAAAGTTCTTTCACAAAAATCGAAATCCTTGCCCTGGCTGGTTTAGCTTAGCAGTTAGAATATAGGCCCTTGGACTGAAGGGTCTCAAGTTTGATTCACACTGTGGCCCATCCAGGTCGTGCAGCAGGCAACCAATGGATGTTTCTTTCTCACATACATTTTTCTCTCTCTCCCTCCCTTCCACTGTATATAAAAATCAATGGAAGCCCTGGCCGGTTTGGCTCAGCAGTTAGAGCGTCGACCTGCGGTCCAGAGAGACCTGGGTTCGGTTCCCGCTAAGGGCACGTACCTCGGATGCAGTTTGTCCCTGGCCCTGGTTGGGTCGTGTGGGTGGCGACCACTCGATGTGTCCTTTTCACGTCGATGTTTCTCTCTATCTCTCCCTCCTCCTCTATCTGAACAAAAAATGGAAAAAATGTCCTCGGATGAGGATAAAAAATAAATAAATAAATGGAAAAATAGCCTCGAGTGAGGATTAACAAAAGAAAGGAAATCCTTGAGTCGGAGGCTAATCTTTTCCTGAAAGATTTGTTAATTAATTGTTCTCTAACCTGACAGAAATATTCTCACCCACACATAACTCCTCAAGACTAGTTACTTTTATAATTATTACTTAATAGCATTTAAGTAAATAAAAATGCTTGTCATCTGTACTCTTTAAATTGCAACCACATTCATTTATATTGTCTAAGTATTTTATAAAGGGTTATGTTCTTTGTAGATAATTAAACAACCTATCGACAAGTTTGAAAGAATCTTTAAATGGAATAACTGAATGCATTCAAGAGAATTTATTCCAAGGATTACAAAAAGATGTTTCTTTAGTTCACACCAATAAAATAAAGTACCTAGATGATATACCCCCATAATACTATCTTATAATGGGAAATAGGAAGTTTTTCATATTCTTAGTTTTCCAACATAGATCAATTGGAAGACTGCTGAGCACATGGTAGGTATTTAGTAAATGAGGAATGAATCTATACCAAAGAACCTGAAGGGCCACTGGGAAAATACTCTCAGTGTGGCAGAACCACCCACTTTATTTCTGTGGGGTTAGTGATTGTGGGTTGGATGCTGCTCATCCTGTTCTTTTCAGTGAGAAAATGTGAATAATACAGATCCAAAATAGAATAAGAGAAATGTAAACATTCTAATTTCCTCAGCAGAGAACAAGCTGTTTATTTTTCTACTTTAAAAAAGGAAGACACCGCCCTGGCCAGTTTTGCTTAGTGGTTAGAACGCTGGCCCATGGACCAATGAGTCGCAGGTTCGATTCCGGTCAAGGGCACATACCTCAGTTGCGATTCGTCCTGGCTCTGGTTGGGGTCATGCAGGAGGCAGCCACTCAATGTATCCTTTCAGGTCGATGTTTCTCTCTCACTCTTCCTCTCTCTCCCTTCCACTCTATCTGAACAAAAAGTGGAGGAATGTCCTTGGGTGAGGATTAAAAAAAAAAGATAACAACAACAACAACAACAAAAGACACCTATATTACAGAGAACTGAATGAAAAAAAAGACATCTGAAGGCCTAGTTGCCCTGGAGCAGAAGTAGTCACATGCACTTGCTCTAACAGCATTATACACATGGACTATGAAGCAATTAGGAGCCAAAGCAAGAAAGCCTGACCTTCAAGAGGGGAGAAAAATGGTAATACACCTTAATGAAGGAGAGGAATCACAACTAATCATGAAAACACCAAAGCACAAATGATTGTTCCTAAATGCTGATAATACATTTTCTTTCAAGAAAATAGAAAAATGACTGAAGTTTACACAGTGAGAGTGGAAAAAGCACTTTGAAATCTGAACTTTAGTTCCATCTCTGTCACTAATTAACTTTGTAATTCAGAGCAAGCTACTTTACTTTTGCAGGCCTAAGTATCCTCATTTGTCCAAGATTGTAATATTGGCCTGATCTATTTCATAGAGCTACTGCTTAGAAAACTGTAAAATTCTATTTCAATATTAAGGTATTATCACTGTTATGAGTTAAGATACTGCAAGGCATATAAAATTCTAATTGGAAGAAAGAGATATTTGCACTCCCATATTCATTGCAGAATTATTCACAATAGCCAAGACATGGAAACAACCTAAGTGTCCAATGACAAATGAATGGATAAAGAAAATATTATAGATAAATAGATATTGAGAGGGGAGGAGGACATTTTGCTAAGTGAAATAAATCAGAAAGACAAATACTGTATGATCTCACTTATATGTAGAATGTGAAAAAAAAAAAAATTAGATACAGAAAACAGATTGATGGTTACCAGAAACAGTTAAAAGTTACAAACCTTCAGTTATAAATAAGTCTTGGGGATATAATGTACAACATGATGACTATAGTTAACAATACTTTATTATATATATTTGAAAGCTACTAAGAGGGTAGAATTTGTCATCACAACAACCAAAAAATGTTTAACTATGTGTGGTGATGGATGTTAACTAAACTCATTACAATAATCATTTTGCAATATATACATGTATATAAAATCATTGTTATATACTTTAAACAAATAAAATGTTACCTATCAATTTTTTAAATGTTTTTATTGAGTTTCTATTTTTAGAGAGAAAGAGGAAGGGAGCGAGGGAGAGAGAAACATCTATCAGCTGCCTCCTGTACAACCCCCTAATGGGCATGTGCCCTTATTGAGAATCAAACCAGCAACCTTTCAGTACATGGGACAACACTCAATTAACTAAGCCATGCCAGCCAGGGCATATGTCAATTTTATCATAATAAATCTGGATGAAAAATAAATGTTGTTATGACAAGTGAGAGAAAAAAAACACACAAACATAAACATATATTATGACCTCACTATATACAATTTGCATAGGAAAAAAAATATAAACACTCCAAAATGCTACCTGTAGCTGTTTCTAGGCGATGGGATTATAGGTGATATTTCTATTTTTTAGCTACCTTTCTGTATTTTCCAATTTTCTATTTACATTTACAACAGCAATAACGAACAAACAAAAACCCCAACTATTTTTAAAGACTGAATTGAGAAGAAACATATAGAACTATGGAATTAAAAGCTATTACTACAACCATTAACAGGTACAACAACTCAACTCTATTATACCTCTACTATCCTTCACTACTTCCCTCACTTTTTGTAGAAAAGAAATTTGTGCCCTGGCCAGTTTGGCTCAGTGTTTAGAGCGTCAGTCCTGGGTTTGGTTCCCACTAAGGGCACGTATCTTGATTGCAGTTTTTTGTTTTGTTTTTTTTTTATCCTCACCCGAGGACATTTTTCCTTTTTTTGTTCAGATAGAGTGGAAGGGAGAGAGAGGAAGAGAGAGAGAGAGAGAAACATCGATGTGAAAGGGACACATCAAGTGGTTGCCACCCGCACGACCAACCAGGGCCAGGGACAAACTGCAACCAAGGTACATGCCCTTAGCGGGAATCAAACCCGGGTCTCTCTGGACCGCAGGCCGGCACTCTAACTGCTGAGCCAAACTGGCCAGGGCTTGATTGCAGTTTGTCCCCAGCCCGGGTTGGGGTTGTGTGGGTGGCAGCCACCTGATGTGTCTCTCTCACATCAATGTTTCTCTCTCTCTCTGCCTCCCTCTCTCCCTCCCACTCTATCTGAAGATAAATGCAAAAGTGTCCTCAGGTGAGGAAATGAATGAATGAATGAATGAATGAATGAATGAATAAATAAATAAATGAAAGAAAGAAAAGGAATTGTGGTAAAATAGTTTCTTAATATGATTATTCAGATAGATAGATAGAGAGAGAGAGAGAGAGAGAGACAGACAGACGAAAGAAAAACAAAACCAGTTAGGCAAGTGTATTAAAAAATTAATAAATAATTATTAAAATTTTTGAATTTCAAATAGAATCAAACCATTAAAGTTGTTGAGTGCTATATTACAAAGGCAATGCCAAAAGAAGTCTTATTAACAGACTTCCTCCAAAGATGTAAAAACTTGTATTCTAAATGACTAAAATTCATAGCCATTTTAACCTGTTTTTTAAAGCTATTCAGTTAAAAAAAAAACCCCACTGGTGTGGCTCAGTGGTTGAGCACTGACCCATGCACCAAGAGGTCTCCGGTTTAATTTCCGGTCAGGGCACCTGACCAGGTTGTGGGTCAGATCCCCAGTAGGGGGCATGCAGGAGGCGGCCATCGACGTTTCTATCTCTCTATGCCTCTCTCTTCCTTTCCCTCTAAAATCAATAAAGAAAAAAGAAAAGCAAACAACAATAACAAAAAACCTATTACCAAATCAATAACATGTGATTCCAGTCCATAATTCTAATTCAACTTTATTTTTATTTATTTTTTTTTTATCCTCACCCGAGGACATTTTTCCATTTTTTGCACAGACAGAGTGGGAGGGAGAGAGAGGAAGAGAGAGGGAGGGAAACATCGATGTGAAAGGGACACATCGAGTGGCTGCCACCTGCACGACCAACCAGGGCCGGGGACAAACTGCAACCGAGGTACATGCCCTTAGCGGAAACCGAACCCGGGTCTCTCCGGACCGCAGGCAGATGCTCTAACCGCTGAGCCAAACCGGCCAGGGCTAATTCAACTTTATGTCACTGAAAAATTTCTCAATGCCAAGATTCATTTCTCTTCTTACCTTTTAATCCCTCTGACAAGCAGAGAAGCCCAGGGTTGATGCATAGAGAGGCACCAACCACCATCAAAGCCTTCTTGAAATTCTTCGTCCTGGATTCGCAATTGGTGCCGATATGAGCTGAACTCTAGTTCTGATTCTGCTGAATGGAAAGCCTTCTTCTGTGGGGCTGCACCTGTCTGGTCTATCCACTACACAGGAAAAAAAAATGTTTAGTTTTGAAAAGGGAAGAACCCGAAGTAGATATAAAAAATGAGATGAATGCTAAAAATGAAGAAATCATAGTGGGAACATACTGTTAGAAAATTTTAACCCATCTTTGTCTGAAACAGGGCCTAAAAAGCTGGAGAAGGTCTAAATTCAGTAGAATCCCCAGGTATGATAACAAAGTCCCATCTTAGAGGATAATTAGAATGTTGAAATCTCCATACAAAGCTTTCTAATGAATTTCAGCAACAGCACAACTATCAGACCAAATAATTGGTCTGTAATTACTTCCATTTTATGCCTATTAATAATCTATATTGGATTCTGGACAATTTCCCAACATAAATCTATCAGCCAAATGAAGGTTCAACACATTGGTCTGTACATTCTTCATGTGCTTAGGGGCAGGATCACATGCTAGTACCAGAAAAGCCAAACAGATGTTTTCAAGAGCAGCAGTTCTGACTACTGGATGCATGAAGTATTTTCTTACCCTGAATTATACAACTTGTTCCTAAAAGAGAGGACGGAGCACTACAGAAACAAGGCTCCCATCATGTAAAGAGAATAGAAAATTACAGGGTACAGGTAATTACAGGAGACTGAAGAGTCCAGGCAGTAGTTCAATCAGAGAATGACAAAGGTTAATGTTTCTTCCATCCAGAGCAAGAAGACTGAGTGCTCCGAAATTTAAGGGTGAGTGGATGGGTGGGGAAGAGGCTTTATTAGGATGGTGAGGTTGGGGTTAGTTGTCTTAATTTTTTGACTTTTCATTTAGTAATTTATAGGGGGGGGGGGAATGCTAGAGTGGTAGTCTAGAAACTCTAAACAATCATTTAACCCTTAAAGGTTTCAATTTTCTCAACTGTAAATGATGGGATTGGACTAAATAAATCTCTGAGAATCTTTCTGCAATAAAAATTTATGAGTCTGCCCTGGCCAGTTTGGCTCAGCGGTTAGAGCGTCAGCCTGCGGTCCGGAGAGACCCGGGTTCAGTTCCCGCTAAGGGCACGTACTTCGGTTGCAGTTTGTCCCCGGCCCTGGTTGGTCGTGCGGGTGGCAGCCACTCGATGTGTCCCTTCACATCGATGTTTCTCTCTCTCTCTTCTTCTCACTCTATCTGTACAAAAAATGGAAAAATATCCTCGGGTGAGGATTAAAAAAAAAAAAAAAAAAAAAAAAAATTTATGAGTCTAACTGTGTTGTGTCTTAAAAAAAAAGAAACATTTAAGTACTTAACTATACGAAAAGGCATAAAGTAGCAACACATAAAATATAAAAAAGATACAGTTCTTGCATTCAAGGAATTTAGAATCCTAACAGAAGACAGACATATAAATAACTATCCAAACTATAAGGCAGAACTGAGTAAGTACTATATAGGGATATAAGCTCTTAAGTAGGAACACAGAGGAAGAACTGATCCATTACAGAGGAAATAAGTGATTTCATAAAAATGTTGGTATTTGAACAATTCTGAGATCCGAATTCTCTATTCTATCTCTATTACAGTTCTTGTTTACTTGTTTCTCTATTCTCACAGCCATTTTGCTAAATTAATCTCTTATTACCTTTCAATAATACTATTATAGAGCCTGCTAACTGTTCTCTACATCTACATTTTTAGCCTTTATTTATTTATTTTTATTTATTTATTTTTATTCTCACCCAAGGACGCTTTTGCATTTATCTTCAGATAGAGCGGGAGGGAAAGAAGGAGGGAGAGAGAAACATCGATGTGAGACAGACACATCGAGTAGTCGCCATCCACACAACCCCAACAAGGGCCAGGGACAAACTGCAACCAAGGTACGTGCCCATAGCGAAAATTGAACCTGGGACTCTCTGGTCGGCAGGCCAATGCTCTAACCACTGAGCAAACTAGCCAGGGCTACATTTTTAGCCTTTAAATAACTCTCTACTGCCCTACTAGTGCTATAGCACTAATTTAGGCCCATAGCATCTCCCCACTGTGCTACTGCAATAACCTTCTCAGCAATTTCCCTGCTTCTAGCCTTACTCCTCCCTCCATTCCATTCTCTACATAGGCATGGAAGTCAAGTCAATCTTCTGCTAAAATCCTTCAAGGCCTCTTCTTTGTCTGCTTTAGGATAAAACCAAAATCCTCAGCATGAGACATAAAGGCTTTCATGATGAGATGTTGCCTACTGTATTGGGTTAAATAGTATCACTCACAAAATGTATTTCCACCCAAAACCATACTTGGAAATAGTCTCTGCAGATGTAATCAAGTTAAAATAAGTTCATACTGGATTAGCGTGGGCCTCAAATCTAATGACTGGTGTCCTTATAAAAGGGGAGAACACACAAAGATACACAGGAGGCAAGCATCCCTCCTGGGAGCACACCCATCCACTCTCCCTTCCCTCTCCCCTTCTTTTTCTCCCTACAGGCATGCATTGCCTAAACTCTAAGGGACCCCAACCAGGGCAGCAATGGGCAGTGGCAGTTCATTCCAGGCTAACCCTATGACCCTGCACCCAAGGCCCCCTTTTCTATGATGACTTAAGGGAGCAAAAGCAGACCAGCCTAGGCTCATTTCTCCAGCCCTTTCTTGTTTTACAGTCTCCAGCTTTAATAGATATCCTCTTTAAAAAAAAAATTTAAAAACACACACAGGAAAGAAGGCCATGTGAAGACGCAGAGATTAGAGTGACACAGTTACAAACCAAGAGCTGCCTTGCGGGCACCAGAAGCTGAAAGAGGCAAGAAAGCGTTCTCCAGTAGAGCCTTCAGAGGGAGCACGGCCCTGCTGACACCTCGATTTCAGTGTTGAGAACTGTGAGAGAATAAATTTCTGTTGTCTTAAGCCAACCAGCTGTGCTACTCTGTCATGGCTGCCCTAGGAAATTAATACACCTACTAGTCCACTTTAACTTCTAACTTTTAATTACTTGTGGTTCTCCAAACATACAATGCTCTCAAACTGCTGAGTCTTTGTACATGTTGTACTTTCTACCTGGAATTCTTTCCTCTGATCTGTCTGCTTGGAAATTCCTATTCATCTAAGTCTCCCCTCAAACACTATTTTTTTGTGTGTGACTCCTTCAGTGGAAGGAGGGAGAATGAACTCTCTCCTAAAGTCCTATTGTACCTGTGACATGTCTATCATAGCAATTACCTTAATGAATTGCAATTATTTGTATTCTAACACATCTTCCCAGTAAATCTGAAGTCCTTAAGGACAGGAGCTGGGCCTTTGTCTTTTCATTTCCTAGCACCTAGCAAAAAAACTGGCATGTACACAGTGCTGCTGAACAAATATTTCCAGTTAAGCTGTGTAAAACACTACTTTGATTGCTCTTCTCTGTTTAAGAACCTTCTATTACTTACATTAATTTATGAAATAAAAATGTGAAAACTTCCTAGCTAAACATTTAAGCTCTGGTTCTATCTACCTAACCCTACTCTATTTCTCATGATGATCCCTTTTATGAGTACTATCTAGGTTGCTTAAATCCACTATTCCATATACATCTCCCATGTTTTTGTGTACCCATGCCTTATTCCTACAGTTCATTCTCCCTTAAATGTTTTTGCCCCATCAGTCCCAAACATCCATTTCTAGGATAGTTACTTTTAATAAATGGCAGGTTTCCCATAAAAGTCTCTTTTATTCCCCTCAACTAGAAGTAGTCTTTCCCTCCTCTGGATTTCCACTGTACTTGATTTATATCTCCATTAGTCTTAAAGCTGCATATATAATCTTTTCCTCTACTCGTCTACAAGTTCTTTGAAGATGGAAGTAACGTCTGATTGATCACCTTCTACTGTTCCTGTACATAGCAGGTGCTCAATGTACTTGATAGAAAAATAAATGAGCCCTGGCCGGTTTGGTTCAGCGGTTAGAGCGTCCGCCTGCGGTCCGGAGAGGCCCGGGTTCGGTTCCCGCTAAGGGCATGTACCTCGGTTGCAGTTTGTCCCCGGCCCTGGTTGGTCGTGCGGGTGGCAGCCACTCGATGTGTCCCTTTCACATCGATGTTTCCCTCTCTCTCTCTTCCTCTCTCTCCCTCCCACTCTGTCTGTACACAAAAATGGAAAAATGTCCTCGGATGAGGATTAAAAAAATAATAATAAAACTAACCTTTAAAAAAAAAAAAGAAAAAAAAAAAAAAGAAAAATAAATGACAACAATAAATATGTGAATTAATGCATTAATTTAAATCATCCCTCTATGGGCTACCCACATTTTATAAAATATACAGAAAAAAAAACATCGACAAAAGGACCATGGAATTACTATCTAAATCTTTATAGTACTTAACAAAATCCTCTCTTTCAAAATACTCAGAAGATAATACAGGTCAGCTTGTAAGAAGTACTGCAAAAAGACTGGAACAAATTGAGCCAGAGAATAAGGTAGGTGGATATGTAGAGAAAGCAGATTGGTATTTACAGCCTATTAAAGAGGCACACTTGAAAGGAGTAATGTCTGGGCCCAAACTTCTCTCATTATCAGTTAGAGCAAAGGTCCACTAACCTGGGGAGGGGACTGGTACAGGTTGGGATTCACCAGAATTCCCAAAGGCTCTTCAGAAGATCTATCCAATTTGGTCAGTGGTTGGTTCAAGGTTCCACTGGCAATGGCCTGTATTGTCTCATCTAGTCTGTGATAACAAACCAAAGGATGCAATAATTGGTAATGTTCTATGCTCAGACATCCTTACTTACCACCAACAAAAAATCCTTCTACAATAATAAAATTCAAAGAGGGGTTCATGGATGACCTCCTTCCCTGCTCCACCCCCACCCAAACTTCCTTCTCTTCACTACAAGAACCCTAAGGAATATAAGTTGGCAAGAGATCCAGAATGCTAAGAAAATAGATAGGGCCTACTATAGTCATTCATCTGTTTAACCAAATTATTTAAAATGCCAGGATTATAAAAGTTACCTAGAAATAGTCTGACCTACAGAAGAGTATTCTATGGCAGGCTATTTATTCAATACATGTAATTATTCTTCTGCCCACTCAAGAGTTCCTCTCTCCACTCCTCTTATGCTGATCTAAATCCTAGTCTTGCTTCAGGGCCCAGAAGTTCTAATGAGGGACTCTTTTGGCTCTAAACAAAAGTGCTTCCTTCTTTCTCTGAAGTCCTGTAGCATCTATTTAGTCATTGGATACATCCTATGGTTGCATTTGCTATGACTATTTGGCTCTAAACCTATGTGATTATTTTCATTTGTGGAACTAATTCTACTGGATAGTAAGAGATCACAGGTCCTGCAGGAAGTGTATCTTATTCTACTCTATAGCACTACATTACTTGCTGCTTTATCTCCACACCCCTGCTGGATGCTTGACAGATGTGGATAATGATGATTCTGAAGCACAACATAATAAAAAGGTTCTACCAGTAAAAAAGGCTGAATCTGACCTTAAATACAATTAAAGAAATACTTAGTAGGACCCTCTTCTAAGAAAGGAAACAAAAGGTGTAGAGGGCATGGTTCCTGCCTTCAAGAGCTAAAAAGATGATGAACGAAACATGAGAGGATGTAATTAATACTATGAGGCACAATCCATCTGGAAGATTCAAAAGAGAGGTAGCTATTTGAAAGGCAAAGATTGGGGAGAGATTTACAAACTAAAGAAAAGGCAAAAACAAAGGCATAAAGCTTTTTTTAAAAAAAAGAGTAGAATAATTTGAAGAAAGAGGTGAGGCTAAAATAAGGTGGGGACAGAGGGATCTGAAGGAGGGAAATAGATTTAACATACAGTATAGTGGTAAGTATATCCAGAACTCCATAATGTATAAAAGGAATAATACAAATAGTTAATCAACACATTTTTAGAATGTTCAGATTTACTAGCATACAACCAAAGCATAGAAATGTGAATAAAAATTATGAAGAAATATAATTTTTCATGTCAGAATGGCAATTTTTTAAAACTCCTCACCGGAGGTTATGTTTTTATTGGTTAAAAAGAAAAAGGAAGGGGGAGAAAGAAAAAGATCGATGTGAGAGAGAAATATCGATCAGCTGCCTCCTGTATGCACCCCAAAAAGGATCAAACCCACAACCTAGGTACGTGCCCTGACCGGGAATCAAACTGCAACCTTTGGTGTACCAGATGACACTCCAACCAACCAAGAAACCCGGCCAGGGCAGAATGGCAAATTTTTAAATTATTTTCTTTATTGATTTTAGAGAGAGAGGAAGAGAAAGATAGAAACATCAATTAAAGAGAACATCGATTGGCCGCCTCCTGCATGCATCCTACTGGGGCTCTGGTCCACAACCTGGGCATGTGCCCTGATCGGGAATGGAACCAGTGACCTCTTGGTGCATGGGTGGATGCTCAATCACTGAGACACACTGGCCAGGTGCAAATATATTTTTACTTGTTAAGAAGAGAATGAAGAAATTAGCATTTGATATAGGTATGTAACTGATAAGTCAAAAAGTATGCACAATTTAAATTTTGAGATACTATCCAGTTTCACTTCTAGAAGGCTGTACCCTTTTTTATTAGATATAAAATGATTTTTATTATAAAAGAAATTCACTTTTATTATGGAAAAATTGGAAAATATAAATTAACAGGAAGAAAATAAAAATTTCCTAAAGCAGCCTGGCCAGTGTGGCTCAGTGGATTGAGCGTCATCCCATGGACTGGGAGGTCCTGGTTCAATTCCTGGACAGGGCACATGCCCTGGTTGTGGGCTCAAGTCCCAGTGGGGGATGTGCAGGAGGCAGCCAACAGATGTTTCTCTCTCACATTAATGTTTCTTTCTCTCTCTCCCTAAAATATCAATAAAAACATTTAAAAAAATTCCTTGCCCAGCTGGTGTGGCTCAGTGGTTGAGCCATGCACCAAGAGGTCGCCAGTTTGATTCCCATTCAGGGCACATGCCCAGGTTGTGGGCCAAACCCCCAGTGGTGGGCATGCAGGAGGCAGTCAATCGATGTTCTCTCTCATCGATGTTTCTGTCTCTCTCTCCCTCTCCCTTCCCCTCTCTCTCAAATCAATAAAGAAAAATAAATTCCTAAACCCATCACCCAGAAATTTTTTTTATATCTGTGTATCATATTCATAATAAACTAGAACAAATAATTATTTTGAAGCTAGTGGTAGAATTTCCTACAGTGATAGAATAACCTTTGTTTATGAAAATTCTATAATGAATTTGCCAGGTATGAAAGAGAAAAGCCAAGGATTGGGCACTGTGGAAAACACTACTGTGTTCACTGATATCTGTGTGTGTGTGTGTGTGTGAGAGAGAGAGAGAGAAAGAGAGAGATATAGACAGAATGAAAGAGAAAGATAGAGATATATATATACATGTATATACATATATATATATACATATATATATATATACACACACACATACATATATATATATATACAGAGAGAGAGAGAAGTGTGTAATTTTCAAAACAAAAAGCAGGGCAAGATCTCTATGTGCTTTCTTTTCAGTATTGTGCTGGAGCCAATATGTGTATCTCTTCTCAACTCTAAGTGGCCACAATAGCAATTTTTTTAAATAGACTTCATTTTTTACAGAAGTTTTAAGTTCATAGCACAAATAAAATAAGGTTCAGAGATTTCTCCTATATTCCCTGTCCCCACACATGCAGAACCTCCCTCATTATCAAACATCCCTCACTAGACTGGTACATTTGTAATAATTAATGAACCTACATTGACACATCACTATCACCCCAAATCCATAGTGTATATTACAGTTCACTTTTGGTATTGAGGCTATACCATTTATTATTTATTTTTACTTATTTATTTTGGGGGGAATTCCCTATGCTCCTCCTTCTGTGCAGTTGTGTGTGATTTTACACACACACACACACAGACATTTAATTCAGAATTAGGGACAGCCCTCTGCTATGTAGTTCACACTGTTCACTGTTCATGCTCACATGAACACATGGGACAGTAGGCACCTCAAAGCCTAGTCTTGCTTGTGCTTGTTTATCTCCTAAAAATGCATCCAATTATAGGGTATGATTGTTTGATCACTAAGCTATATATCTGAAAAAGGCTGTACCATTTTAATACTCCCATCCACAGTAAAAGATCATACCCATTTTCCTGCACTCACAAATTATGCATATTATATATATTTTATTTCAGCCATTTAATGATACATGTTAAAATCTGCATTTCTTTGGTAACTAGTTAAGCATCTTTTCAAACATTTAGTGACTTTTTATTTTCTCACCTATAAATTGCCCACTTCTTTTTTTTTTTAATCCTCACCTGAGGACGTTTTTCCATTTTTTGTTCAGGTAGAGTGAGAGGGAGAGAGAGGAAGAAAGAGAGAAACACAGACGTGAAAGGGACACATCGAGTGGCTGCCACCCACATGACCAACCAGGGCCAGGGACAAACTGCAACTGAAGTACGTGCCCTTAGCGGGAACCAAACCCGGGTCTCTCTGGACCGCAGGCCGACACTCTAACCGCTGAGCCAAACCAGCCAGGGCTACATTGCTCATTTTTAAATTTTCTTTTCTTTATTGATTTTAGAGAGAGGGGAAGGGAGAGAGAGAGAGATGGAAACATCAGTGAGAGAGAACATTAATTGGCCACCACCTGCCTGCCCTCCACTAAGGATGTGGCCCACAACCTGGGCATTTGCCCTGACTGGGAATTGAACAGGTGACCTCTTGGACATTCAATCACTTAGCCACACTGGCTGGGCAAATTGCCTACTTTTTTACTGAAATATTTTTGGTCTTTTTCTTTCCAGTTTCCTTTTTTTTTTTTTATCCTCACCTGAAGACATTTTTCCATTTTTTGTTCAGATAGAGTGGGGAGGGAGAGAGAGAGAGAAACACTGACGTGAAATGGATACATTGAGTGGTTGCCACCCTCATGACCCAACCAGGGCCAGGGACAAACCGCAACTGAGGTACATGCCCTGAGCGGGAACCGAACCTGGGCCTCCCTGGACCGCAGGCCGACGCTCTACCGCTGAGCCAAATCGGCCAGGGCTCCAGTTTCCTTTTTATTTTTACTTTTCTTATTTATTTATTTTTTTACTTTTCTTACTTTTTTTTTTTAAAGAATACTTTATTGGTTTCTAGAGAGAAAGGAAGGAAGAGGGAAGAGAGGGAAAGAGAGAGAGGGGGAGGGAGGGAGAGAGAGAGAGAGAGAGAGAGAGAGAGAGAGAGAGAGAAACATCAATGTGAGAGGGGATCAAGCCCAAAACCTGGGTATGTGCTCTTGACCAGAAATCAAACTGGCACCTTCCTGGTGCACAGGATGATGCCCAACCAACTGAGCCACACCGGCCAAGGCATGGTCTTTTCTTTTAATTTGCAGGTCTTAGTATATATTATGGATATTACTCTTTGAATGTTAAACATTGAAAATATTTTCTCTAAGTCTGGTACTTATATCAGCCTAGCCGGTGTGGCTCAGTGGCTGAGGATTAACCCATGAACCAAGAGGTCACCAGTTCGATTCCTGGTCAGGGCACATGATTGGGTTGCCAGGTCAATACCCAGTGGGGAGCTTGTGGGAGGCAGCCGATCGATGTGTCTCTCTCATCGATGTTTCTATCTCTCTCTCCCTCTCTCTGTAAAAGTCAATAAAAAATGTTTAAAAAAAAAAAAACATAGCCCTGGCTGGTTTGGCTCAGTGGCTGAAGCATCGGCCCGTGGACCAGAGAGGCCCAGGTTCGGTTCCTGCTAAGGGCACGTACCTCAGTTGTGGTTTGTCCCTGGCCCTGGTTGGGGTTGTGTGGGTGGCAACCACTTGATGTGTCTCTCGCATGTCAATGTTTCTCTCTCTCTCTCCCTCCTCTCTCTCTCAAGATGAATGCAAAAAATGTCCTCAGGTGAGGATAAAAAAAAAAAAAGAACTTAAATAAATAAATAAACATATATAAATAAATATGCCTTTTTGACTTCTGGGTTCTGTATCCTGCTTAGAAAGAGATTTATCGCCCTGGCCGGTTTTGCTCAGTGGTTAGAGCGTCAGCTTGCAGTCCAGAGAGACCCGGGTTCGGTTCCCACTAAGGGCATGTACCTAGGTTGCGGGAGGCAGCCACTCGATATGTCCCTTTCACATCGATGTTTCTCTCTCTCTCTCCCTCCCAGTCTATCTGAACAAAAAATGGAAAAATTTCCTCGGGTGAGGATTAAAAAAAAAAAGAGATTTATCACACCAAGACTATAACTATATTCTCCTATATATCTATATATCTTCTTGATTCTTTTATTTCTTTTACATTTAACTCTTTAGTCAAACTGTCACAGAATGATTTGAGGTAGAGATCTAGTGTAGATTTTTTCTAAGCTGGTGGCTAATCATCCATCATATATTTAATCCTTTCCTTACTGTTTAGAATTATTATCTTTATCAGTTACAAAATTTACACTCATATAGACATGCACTCATGCACACATACACCCACAATGCAGACACTTGTCTCTTTCTGGGTTTTATTATGTTTCATTGATCTATTCCTGTGCCCAAACTATACCTCATTGTTTTAAAAACAGTCTTTTAATAAAACTACAGTAATTATCTAGTAGGATAAGTTCCCCTCCCTGTTCATTTTCAAAATTTTCTCAGCTACTCTTACATATTTCTATTCCAAGTGAATATATTATTTTTTAAAAATCAACAAAAATAACAGATCCATTAGATGGGGCAAATCTTTTACAGTCAAACCACCCCCTTCTTTTACATCCTTTCTGCTGCTATCCACTTACTTGCTATGATACTGGGCTAGTGGATTTTCATCTTCCACAATCTTCCTGCCTGCAAAGTCAATGGTGATCTTCTTAGAGAGCCGAGAGGCATGTCGAAATTCTCTCAGTTCCTCTTCTCGCTTCTGCAGAGTTTCCCGCTCAATTTTAGACAACCACTGGTTAGAATCACTGGCAAAGTAATCTGACTCATCATCAATTACTTGGGTCCTTCGAATGCTAAGAAAAAGAAAAAAAAAAATAACCACGACAGGCTGCCTATTGACAAATGGGAACTTGATTACTGGGAAACTGTTTCAAGACAGCTTACTCTTATGCTGTCCTAAAGGTTATTATCTCAAATATGGATGCCCAAGAATGTTCTAAAAGGTGGTCAAGATCTGCCTGGTTTCCAGCTTCTGCATATATCTTACCCTATACAGGCTTGGCTCAGCTCCTAAAACTAATCTCCTCCTCAGGCAGGAAAAGACAGCACCATAATCCACTGTCCTTCTAGCGTTCTTACTACTCTAGTCCTCATCTTCTGAAAACTGGGCTTCTGTCTGGTTTTGCTGCATCTGAGTTCACATCTTGACAGCTTACGTAATATCGTACTCCCTCTATAATTAGACTTAGTCTGTTCTTGCTAGGCCCAATTGCTACCCTTTTCCTTAGAAACTGCTGTTCTAATCTGGACTCTCAGTCCTGTGGCTTACTCTTAGGACACCTTACTACTCTACTACTATATGTCAGTCCCCACTCCCCAAATCTCCAGTCCCTCACTAATACACTGACCAAGTTCCAGGATATGATAATCAGGCCTGTTTCTAAGATTATATCAACAAAGAAACTGAGAACTAGAAGAAATCTTGATGACCCACTCTCTCATTCTACATATGATAACCCAGGGCTCACAGCAGTTAAGTGACTACTCTTAAAGTCACAAACCAACTGGATTTGTGCAAAGTTACAAATCTGTAATATATACAGGCATAGGGAAACCCTCAAATCATATTCATATATTGATTTCAATTATTCAGGATTCAGCTGGAATTATAAAAGTTTTATTTATTTATTTTTCTTTATTGATTTGAAAGAGAGAGGAAGGGAGAGGGAGATAGAGACAGAAACATCAATGAGAGAGAACATCGATTGGCTGCCTCCTGCATGCCCCCCAGTGGAGATCTGGCCCACAACCTGGACATGTGCCCTGACCAGGAATCAAACTGGTGACCTCTTGGTGCATGGGTCAATGCTCAACCACTAAGCCACACCAGCTGGGCAGAATTATAAGTTTTAAAGTAGACTGACAGTGGGAAGCTTAAGAGGGATCAGGAGAGCCGGGCCAGTGTGGCTGAGTGGTTGAGCGTCAACCCATGCACCAAGAGGTTGCTGGTTGCATTCCTGGTCAGGGCACATGCCCAGGTTGTGGGCCAAATCCAGAGTAGGGCATGCAGGAGGCAGCCAACTGAGGTTCTCTCTCATCGATGTCTCTCTCCCTCTCCCTTAGTCTGTGTCTAAAATCAATAAAGAAAAAAAAATTTTTTTTAAAAGAGGGATCAGGAGAAAACTGATCCTATATGTGAACCTAAATAATGGAAGTGGGGCCTGGGCGATGTGGCTCAGTGGACTGAGCATTGTTCCATGGACTGAGAGGTATCGGCTTGATTCCTGGTCAGAGCACATGCCTGGGTGGCAGGCTTGATCCCCAGTAGGGGTCGTACAGGAGGCAGCTAATCAATGTTTCTCACATTGATGTTTCTATCTCTCTCTCCCTTCTCTCTCCAATAAAAAAAATCAATAAAAAATGAAAGTGGTGACCTTGAACCCTGGCCAGTTTGGCTCAGCGGTTAGAGCGTCAGCCTGCAGATCAAAGCCAAGGGCACGTACCTGGGTTATAGTTTGTCCCCTGCCCCAGGTGGGATTGTGTGGGAAGCAACTAGTCGATATGTCTCTCTCATATTAATGTTTTTTTCTCTCTCTCCCTCCCACTCTGTCTGAAGATAAATGTAAAAATATCCTCAGGTGAAGATTAAAAAAAAAAAAATGGTGCCCAGGCTGGTTTAGCTCAGTGGTCAGAGCGTCAGACCCCGGACCAGAGAGTCCTGGGTTCGATTTCCGCTAAGGGCACGTACCTTGGTTGTAGTTTGTCTCCGGCCCCAGTTGGGTTATGTGGGTGGCCGCCACTCAATGTGTCTCTCTCACACTAATGTTTCTCTCTCTCTCTCCCTTCCTCTCTCCCTCCTGCTCTATCTGAAGATAAATGGAAAAATGTCTTTGGGTGAGAATAAAAAAATACATTAAAAAAAAAAAGTGACCTCGAATATGTCAGCAAAAGGGCAGCATCAATAGGGAAAGACAATTTTCCAGTTTTTATTGATCAAGAGATGTACTCCATTTCTAATTCTCTTTCTTTTCTTTTTTTTTAGAGAGAGTGCAAGGGAAGAAGCGGGTGGGGGAGAGAGAAACATCAATGTGTCTAGACACAACGATTGGTTGCCTCTGGCACAAGGGATCAAACCTGCAACCCAGGTATGTGCCCTTGACTGGAATCAAACCCGAGACCCTCTGGTGCCCAGGCTGACTCTCTAACCACTGAACCATGCCAGCCAGGGCTCCAATTCTATTTCTAATGTTAAGTTTTATTTAATAGGGCTAAAAGTAATATTTAAAGGATTAAGAGTAAATGTGAGTTACAAAGCTTGCAATGAGCTTACTTAAGAAATAGCTTTCAAAGGTATACCTCATGTATTCATAGCAGTTTGGTAGTAGAAAGTGTGTCTAACCAAAGGATTACAATGCCAGGGATAGAGTACGAGGTCAGTTACAATAAGTAAGAGATTTGGGGATTTCTCTAAGAACCCTCACATTCTCACATGGCCTTTTAAGAAGGGAGCATTTAAATCCTAATTAATTTTTTTTTTTAACATTAACTGGTTTTCAATATATGTATTTGGTCCAAAAAAAAGAAAAAATGAAAGAGAAAGAAATAAAAAAATAGAACTAGCAAATTCTGTCTCCTAAAGAGAAGTCAGTAGGCTAAATGACAAAAGCATATAAGTATAAATGCCTTTTAGAAACATTTTAATATATTGGTCATTGAATCAGAAAATAAAAACAAAACAAAATTTATTGTCAAAGGAAATGAGAAGGGTAAATCATTCCTTCTCATGATATTGTGTTACCTACACTCTCTCAGAGGCAACTTCTCATAGATTCTCCAGATCCCAGCACAGCAATTTGCACATGATAGGCACTCTAATATATATGATGACTGAATGGCTGCAAGTGAAAAAGTGGGGAATTATTCAACCCAAATCAACTTTCTGGGAGTATACTAGCATGTGCCAAAATCAAAAAATGTTTCAGAATAGGATCCTTTGAGTGGGACACTATTTTATTCAAACATAGAACCAAAAACTATGTGGAGGCCACCAACGCAGAGCATCCAGCTGTTCTTTTCCTATAATCTTTTTCACTCCACCCCTAAGAATGTATCAAGTGCCAAAATAATGTTTTAATGGGTAGAGTCTGTGGACTAGTCTACTTCTTAGCATTTGTTATTCTAATCACATCATACCTAGTTCTGTCAAACTCTAAAAGTTTATCTTTATGCTTGATAGCCTTCTCTAGACCAGACTTAAATCGCATCTCTTGATGAGGAAGTAGGTCCTTGGTAGAGTTGTCCACCTTCCCAGAATTCTCTGTTCCTAAAATTCAATAAGAAAACCAAATGGTGTCAGCTTATAATACAAACAAGATGTATCACCATGGAGCAAAACAATAAAATCAGAAGATCTGGTTCTGCCCTGATTATGGAAAGCCATCATTTCAATGGAAAACAAAGAAGTACACAGGCAGTGCTTGGCACATAATAGGGTCTCAATAAATGTTAAGCTGCATTTCTTCACTTATGGAAATTTGGATCACCAAGAATACCAAACTGTTTATCAACACAATATAAAATGCCTTATAAATGAAAAACTATATTGAGTATCACCTTTAGATATACGTTTTTAAAAAATAGGTTTTTATTGATTATTTTAGAGACAAAAAAAGGAAGAAAGAGAGAGAAATATCAATGTGAGAGAGAAACATTGATCATCTGCCTCCTGCACACCCCTCACAGGGGACTGAGCCCACAACCAAGGTATGTGCCCTGACTGGAAATAGAACCAGAACCTCACAGTCTACAGGAATCCACTGAGTCACACCAGCTGCGCTAAACACTTCTTTTAAAAAACATTTTTTTAAAAAAACATTTTTTTTTTCTTCTTTTTTTAATCCTCACCCGAGGATATTTTTTACATGAATCTTCAGATACAGCTGGAGGCAGAGAGGGAAGAAGACAAAGAGAGAGAGAGAAATGAGAGAGAAACACTGATGTGAGAGAGACACATCGATTGGCTGCCACCCACACAACCCCAACTGGGGCCAGGAACAAATCGCAACCAAGGTACGTGCCCTTGGCCAGAATCAAACCCGAGACTGGTCTGTGGGCGATGCTCTTACTGCTGAGCCATACTGGCCAGGGCTCTTTGTCAATTTTTAGAGAGAGAGAAAGGGGGAGAGAGAGAGAGAGAGAGAGAGAGATTAACATCGATGAGAGTGAACATCGATTGGCTGCCTCCTGCATGCCCATCACTGGGGATCAGGCCCAGAACTTGGGCATGTGCCCTGACCAGGAATTGAATTGGTGACCTCTTGTTGCATGGGTCAATGCTCAACCATGAGCCACACCAGCCAAGTTAGCCAACCTAGGGTTGGCTCTGGCACAGTAGCTCCTCTGCTGTAGTTGTAGCAGATCCTTGCAGACTGAGGGGCGAGGACTCAATCCTTTCCAGTACTGCCAACATCAACCACGGCTCAACTATAACAGGACAGTGCACACAGCCCACAAAAAGGTGCACCTGCTTGGAAGATTGGGAAAGCTACATCATTACACCCTACAAGACACCTAGTACACAAGGCCACTATACCAAGTCTGGAAGTGGTAGCAGCTCTACCTAATACATAGAAACACACTTAGGGAAACAGCCAAAATACAGACACAAAGAAACAGGTTTCAAATGAAGAACAGAAGAAATCTCTAGAAAAAGAACTAAATAAAATGGAGGCAAGGAAACTACCAAATACATGGCTCAAGAGACTTAGTAAAAACTTCAATAGCATGAAAAAGAATATAAAAACCATAAAAAAAGGTCAGAAATGAACAGTAGAGTAGACAAAGCAGATAATCAAATCAGCAATTTGCAATATAAGGAAGCAAAAACCACCCAATCAGAACAACGAAAAGAAAAAGGAATTTAAAAAATGCACAGAATGTACGTAGTTGTTCAAGCAAACCAAGATTTGCATCATGGGGGTGCCAGAAGGAGACGAGAGAGGGTAAAAGATTGAATACCTATTTGAAAAAGTATTGACAGAAAACTTCCCAAACTTGGTGAAGAAAATAGACATACACGTCTAGGAAGCACAGAGAGTCTCAAACAAGATGAATACAAAGAAGCCCACACTAAAGCACATTATAATTAAAATGTAAAAGGTTAAAGACAAAAATAGAATCTTAAAAGCAGAAAGAGCCCTGGCCGGTTTGGCTCAGCAGTTAGAGCGTAGGCCTACGGTCCAGAGACACCCAGGTTCCCATCCCGCTAAGGGCACGTACCTCAGTTGCAGTTTGTCCCCGGCCCTGGTTGGTCGTGCGGGTGGCAGCCACTCGATGTGTCCCCTTCACGTCGATGTTTCTCTCTCTCTTTCTCTCTCTCTCTCTTCCTCTCTCTCCCTCCCACTCTATCTGAACAAAAAATGGAAAAATGTCCTCGGGTGAGGATAAAAAAATAAAATAAAAAAGCAGAAAGAAAAAAAGCAGTTAGTTACCTACAATGGAGATCCCATTTGACTGTCAGCTGATTTCTCAACAGAAACTTTGTAGGCCAGAAGGGATTAGCAAGAAATATTCAAAGTGATGAAAAGCAAGGATCTACAACCAAGATTACTCTACCAGCAAAGCTATCATTTAGAATCAAAGGACAGGTGACGACCTTCCCAAACAACAAAAAGCTAAAGGAGTTCATCACCACCAAACCAATTCTACATGAAATGTTAAAGGGGCTTCTTTAAAGTGAAACTGTCATTATTTGCAGATGACATGATATTATACATAGAAAACCCTAAAGACTCCATCAAAAAATCTATTAGACTGCCCTGGCCGGTTTGGCTCAGCTGTTGGAGCGTCGGCCTGCGGTACAGAGAGACCCGGGTTCAGTTCCCGCTAAGGGCACGTACCTCAGTTGTAGTTTGTCCCTGGCCCTGGTTGGTCATGGGGGTAGCAGCCACTCAATGTGTCCCTTCACATCGATGTTTCTCTCTCTCTCTCTCTCTCTCTTCCTCTCTCTCCCTCCCACTCTATCTGAACAAAAAATGGAAAAATGTCCTCGGGTGAGGCCCTGGCCAGTTTGGCTCAGCGGTTAGAGCGTCGGCCTGCGGTCCGGAGAGACCCGGGTTCGGTTCCCCCTAAGGGCACGTACTTCGGTTGCAGTTTGTCCCCGGCCTTGGTTGGTCATGCGGGTGGCAGCCTCTCGATGTGTCCCTTCACATCGATGTTTCTCTCTCTCTCTCCCTTCCTCTCTCTCCCTCCCACTCTATCTGTACAAAAAATGGAAAAATATCCTCGGGTGAGGATAAAAAAAAAAAACAAAAAAAAAAATGTCCTTGGGTGAGGATAAAAAAAAAAATCTATTAGACTTGCCACGGCTGGTTTTTACTCAGTGGTTAGAGCATCGGCCTGCGGTCCCAAGAGACCCAGGCTAGTTCCTGCTAAGGGCACGTACCTCAGTTACAGTTTGTCCCCGGCCCCGGTTGGGGTCGTGTGGGTGGCAGCCAGTTGATGTGTCTCTCTCATGTCAATGTTTCTCTCTCTCTCTTCTTCCCTCTCTCCCTACCACTGTATCTGAAGATGAATGCAAAAATGTCCTCTGGTGAAGATAAAAAAAAAGTACAAATTGGTTGTTATAGAACAGTCATGAGAATATAGAGTATAGGAAATAATATTCTAATAACTATGTATGGTGTGAGATGGGTACAAGATTTATCAGATGATCACTTAGTAGGTTATGTACTGTGTAATCACTGGGGTACACCCTCAAAATTAATATAATATTGTATGTATGTCAACTGTAATGGAAAAAAATTATTATATGGCAAAAAAAAAAATGAGGCATGTTCAACCTCATTAATAATTTTTAAAAATTACAACTATAAAAATTTTATAATTTGAGAGACACTTCGAGTGGTCGCCACCCACATGACCCCAATCAGGCCCGGGGACATACTGCAACTGAGGTACGTGCCCTTAGCGGAAACCGAACCCGATACTCTCTGGTCCGCAGGCCAACACTATAACCGCTGAGTCAAACTGGCCAGGGCAAAATTTTATAATTTGAAATGTCAAAACAATACAGAGAAGTATAATATTAATATTGTTGTCAATTGGTACAATATTTTAATAAAGTAATATGGCAAATATATCTTAAGTGTCAAAATGATCATATTCTTTAACTCAGTAATCCAATTTTTAGAAATTTATCCCAAAGAAATAAATAGAAAAATATATTAACAAAGATGATTATTATATATTTATAATTTGGAAAGGTAAAAATACCCAGTTTTTGAGAAATGAGTAATCAAATTACAGTAAATCAGCTTAACAGATTACTTCTAGCCACACACAAAAAATACATATAAAGACTATATAGCAATGTAGAAACTAATTATAAAGTATTTGGTGAAAAATAGAAAAACAAAAATCTATAAACTACGATTGCTACCTTATGATAACAACCAATAATGTGTTTTTGACCTATCAAAGACTTAGGAAAGAGTTGCAAAAAAAGTAGAGTTCCTATATAATTTTCATTCAGCATCCCTGAATGTTAATATCTCATCTTACATAACCATAGCACAACTATCAAAAGTAAGAAATTAACATTAGTACAATACTATTAACTAAATTACAGATATCAACATTTTTCAATTAATGTTATTTTTCTATTCTGTAATCCAATTCATAATCCTACATTACAGTTAGTTGTCATGTCATAGTCTCCTCCAATCTGTGAAACTTATCTTTCCTTGTCTTTCATGACCTTGTAAATCTCCTATTCTTAAATGTTCACACAACAGTTTTAGCAACATCAGTGGATCTTGACTGTAGCAATTACATACCACTATGGAGGTATTCTTTTTTTTTTGCATTTATCTTCAGATAAAGCAGGAGGAAGAGAAAGGGTAAGAGAGAGAGAAACACACATGTGACTGAGACACAGAGTGGTTGCCACCCACACGACCCCAACCAGGGCCAGGGACAAACTGCAACCGAGGCACATGCCCTTAGCAGGAACCAAACCTGGGACTCTCTGGTCCGTGGGCCGACGCTCTAACCTCTGAGCCAAATTGGCCAGGGATATGGTGGTATTCTAATGGTGATTTTTTATTTTTACTAAATTTTTAAAAATCACTTTATTAATTAGAATTCTTCTATAAAAAGAGTTGTCCTTTCTCCCCCATTTAGTTTATTCAGGATATTAATTTTACTTATTGGGTTACAATACATTATTATATTAGTTTTTTTGGCTCAATGTTATGTGGTTTTAATAATAATATAAAAATAAATAAATGCTTATAGAATAAATGAGTGAATAAACTGCATCTTGTATACCAGGATATGAGAAAGAGAAATATAGATACAACAAAATGTATCCATCACCACAGTAATACAATAGAAAATTGCTGCCTACCTGACATTAGCTTCTTGAGCAATTTCTGGCTCTTGTTTGAGTCACGTTGTAAAATATCCTGTTCTTCACGAGTACATACCTATAAAGAAATAAGACACATGATCCAATAGTTTGTTTGATATTACTTTAAAGTAACCTTAAATTACACATTAGCTCTGGCAATAAAAAAAAAATGAGACTGTTTGTGCTTTTTTATCCTGACAAATATACCAAAATATACATATCCAAATGAGTTTTGCCCTACTCTTTCCATTTCTCCCTTCTTTCATGAACCATGTAAAAAACTGATTTCACTGCTAGTGACCCTAAATGACTTCATGGTTTAATAACAAAAAAATCTAGCCCTGGACAGTTTGGCTCAGTGATCAGAACATTAGCTCGAGCACCAAAGGGTTGCAGGTTTGATTACCAGTCAAGGACATGTACCTGGTTTGCAGGTTCAATTCCCCTACCTGGTCAGGGTTGTAGGGAAGGCAAATGATGTGTCTCTCACATTCATGTTTCCCTCTACCTCTCTCTCCCTCCCTCCTTCCCTTCTATTCTCTAAAAATCAATGAAAAACATGTCTTCAGGTGAGGATTAACAAAAAAACCCAACAACAACAACAAAAGAAAATGGATGACCTGATGAATGTAATGTCTACCATCAGAAATATTCAGAAAACGGCCCCGGATGGTTTGGCTCAGCAGTTGGAGCACTGGCCTGAAGACTGAAGTGGGTTCGATTCCTGGTCAAGGGCACATGCCTCAGTTGCAGGTTTCATCCCTGGCCCCAGTCAGAGTTGTGTGGGAGGCAACTAATCGATGTGTCTCTCTCACATCAATGTTTCTCTCTCTATCTCCCTCCCTCCCTCCCTGCCACTCTATCTAAAAAAAATCAATGGAAAATGTCCTCAGGTGAGGACTGACATACATACATACATACATACATACATACATACATAAATAAGTAAAATCTAGCCCATTTTCAGGGGCATGTGGGAGGCGGCCAATCGATGTTCTCTCTCATCAATGTTTCTTTCTCTCTTCCTCTCTCTCTAAAACAATAAAGAAAAAAATTTTTTAAAAAAGTCTTCCAGTTCTAATAATGAAATCTAAGTCTTAACAGGAGAAATTATAAGCAGGTATCTTACTAGAAATGAGCAGAGAGAAAAGCAAATTAAAGTATCACCAGTAAAATCTAGTTTAGCACTTATACTATATATATATTTTTTTCCTTTGAACATTATAAAATAATGAATATATTAAGCAAAAACAAAGTTCTGGTTATTATAAAATCACTACAATTTTAAGAAGGGAGGCAAAGAAAGGGTTACTTAAAAATAATTTCATACTAAGCTTATAAAACTGCAAGGCTTCCAAGGTCAATCTGTTTTACATTACTCTGTTTCTTGAACTGTTAGGTCTCCAAGGAATCTAACAGAAAATACTATAGTTTGAGCAGTTGCCTTGGTGGCACATAGTTTCTATCAGCAGCTTTAGGTTGTTTCTCTAGAGAAAATCCCATATGGGAGGACAATTACTGCTGTTTTCTTAACATTTTTTTTTCTTTATTTACTCCTCACCCAAGGACATTTTTCCATTGATTTTTTTTTTTTTTGCACTTATCTTTTCTTTGGTACATGCCTCTAACCAAAACTGAACCGGGGACTCTCTGGTCCGCAGGCCAATACTCCAACTGCTAAGCCAAACCGACCAAGGCAGCACTTATCTTCAGATAGAGCGGGAGGGAGGGAGGGAGGAAGAGAGAGACACATCAACTGGCCGCCACTCACATGACCCCAACCGGGCCGGGGACAAACTGCAACTGAGGTACGTGCCCTTAGCGGGAACCGAACCCAGGCCTCTCTGGTCCGTGGGCCGACACTCTAACCACTGAGCCAAACCAGCCAGGGCTTCCATTGATTCTTTATAGACAGAATGGAAAGGAAGGGGAGGGAGAGAAAAAGAAAGAGAGAGAGAGAGAGAGAGAGAGAGAGAGAGAGAGAGAAAAACATTAATGCAAGAGTGACATTGATTGGTTGCCTCCTGCACGACCCCAACTGGGGCTGGGGATCAACCTGCAACCGTGGCATGTACCCTTGACCAGGAATTGAACCAACGACCCTTCAGTCCTTAGGCCAACGCTCCAACCGCTGAGCCAAACCAGTCAGGGCCATTTTCTGAACATTTCTGATGGCAGACATTACATTTATCAGGTCATCAACTTTCTTTTTTTTTTCTTTTTGGTTAATCTTCACGTGAGGACATTTTTTCCACTGATTTTTAGAGAATAGAAGGGGGATAGGGAGAGAGAGAGAAACATAGATGTGAGAGAGACACATCAATTGGTTGCCTCCTGCACAACCTCGACCGGGTAGGAGATTGAACATGCCCTTGATTGGGAATCGAACCCACAACCCTTTGGTGCTTGGGCCAATGCTCTAACTGCTGAGCAAACTTGCTAGGGCAAATCATCCATTTTCTATCAGTTTGTTCAATGAATATACTGAAAAATTAAGAGCTCTAAACAAAGCAATTAAAGAGAAGGTAAAACAAAGCAATATAAAATAGATGCCTTCACCAACACCAAATGCCATTGCTTCAGCCTGCCAGCTCAACTAGCATAATAAGTTCTTTTTTTTATAAATCCTCACCTGAGGATATGTTCTATTGATTTCAGACAGAGGAGAAGAGGGGGCAAAGAGAGAGAAACATCGATGTATGAGAGAAACACTGACTAGCTGCCCACCCCCCCAACACACACACACACACCTCCCCACCAGGGATCAAACCCACAACCCAGGTATGTGCCCTGACGAGGAATTGAACCAGCAATCCTTCAGTGCAAGGGACGATGCTCCAATCAAATGAGCCACACCAGCCAGGGCTGGTATAATAAGGGTTTTAGACAACTCATTAGGGTATTTGTAAGACAGTCATTATTGCTACACTCTTGGGGTCATTCTCTCAGACAAATCAAAACTATAAAGAAGAGGTATCCTAGAAACAAAAGCTTTAATGACCCAAAGATTGTGCCACAGTGGTTCTATTCCCTTGGGGATATGAATCACATCAGAAGACTTGGACAATAAATTTTGACATTTTAGGCCCTAAAGTTTTCTTGAATTGAAGTTAATTTGACACAAGACTCGGGTCTCTCTACAATGTGTATTTTCAAAACCCTTCTCACTAACAGGCCTTGTTACTAGGATACAACCTTAGGTTTTTGACTAAAAAATTCTTGCTATTATAGTTTCCTGGACACAGGGAAGAAATGTACTATAAAAGGGAGAATATACTAGGGATGTGAATGTCCCTACTTATTAAACGAAAGCACAGTAATACAATAAAATAGAAAATAAACAATTACCAGAGTACCACAGAATAAGCAAGGGCCAGAACCTTCTTGTTCACAGACTATACGCCCGCAGATCAGACAGTTATTGATCAGCTTGTGCTTCTGGCCCAGGCAATCACAAGGGTGGCGACCTGGGATCAGGACTGCAAGCTTGTCTTGTCCCTCTTTTGTGTATAAACTGACAAACTTCGTCTTCTTCTTTAAGGAATTGTTGCTCTCTTGTGCCTAATTGTACAAAAGTAAGAGATATAACATCAAATAATTAATGACAATGAAAATAGTCGAGGATAAAAAAAAAACCTCAGTTCTGTTCAATAACATATACATTACTGAGGAGCCACGCAAGGAGGGAGTGGGAGAAATACAAATTAGTTATAATCAAGGATCTAGAGAAAGATTATGCTCTAGAAAAACTATCTTATATACCTTACCTTTTCAGTCCTCTATTACAGCTGGTGGGAGGTAGATGTAGCAGTAAAAGCTGATTATGTGACATATTTAAGCATAGCTAAATTGAAGATCATAAGAAACAAAAATGCCTCTAAAAGTAGATGATATTCACAGATTTGAAATTATGACTAAAATAAGAATAATCCATAAAAATAGACTCAATAAGGCCCTGGCTGAGTAGCTCAGTTAGTTAGAGCATTGTCCTCATATTCCAAGGTTGTGGGTTCCATTCCAGGTCAGGGTACGTACAAGAATCAACCAATGAATGCATAAATAAGTGAAACAACAAATCAATGTTTGTCTCTCTTCCTTCCTCCCTCTCTCTAAAAAAAAAATTTAAACAACAGACAATAATTAAAAGACAGATAACACAATGGGGAAAAGACCTAAATAGGAATGTCATAAAAACAATATCCAAATTGCTCAACAATCTCATGAAAAGGTGCTTAACTTCATTAGTCATCAAGATAATGCAAAATAAAGCCAAAATGCATACAACTACACACCAACCAGAATGGCAAAATTGAAAGAGACAGAAAATACCGAGTATTGACAATGATACAGAGCAATCAGAGCTCTCATACACTGTTGAAGTATAAACTGGTATCTACTAAAGTTGAACATATGCACATCCTGTGACCCAGTAATTCAACTGTTGAATATATACTCCACAGAAATGAGTAAATATGTTCACTAAAAGACAAGCAAAAAAATGTTCACTGCAACATTGAAATTGAACTACCCAAATGTTCAACAGTAGATTGATGTATTCCCTTAATTAGGATCCTACATAGCAATGAGAATGAAAAAGTATAGCTATGCAAAATAATAATAATTCTCATAAAGCCAAAAACAAAGAGTACATATTATTTAGGTTCATTTACACAAAGTTCATAAGGAGGCAAAACTAATCTATGATGTTAGAAGTCAAGAAGGTAGTTCCTGCCCTGGCCGGTTTGGTTCAGTGGTTAGAGCGTCGGCCTGCGGTCCTGAGAGACCCGGGTTCGGTTCCCGCTAAGGGCATGTACCTCGGTTGCAGTTTGTCCCCGGCCCTGGTCGGTTGTGCGGGTGGCAGCCACTCGATGTGTTCCTTTCACATCGATGTTTCTCTCTCTCTCTCTGTTCCTCTCTCTCCCTCCCACTCTACCTGAACAAAAAATGGAAAAATGTCCTCGGGTGAGGATAAAAAAAAAAAAAAGAAGGTAGTTCCTGCCCTGGCCGGTTTGGCTCAGCGGTTAGAGCGTCGGCCTGCGGTCCTGAGAGACCCGGGTTCGGTTCCCGCTAAGGGCATGTACCTCGGTTGCAGTTTGCCCCCGGCCCTGGTTGGGTCGTGCGGGTGGCAGCCACTCAATGTGTTCCTTTCACGTCGATGTTTCTCTCTCTCTCTCTCTCTTCCTCTCCTTTCCTCCCACTCCATCTGAACAAAAAATGGAAAGATGTCCTCGGGTGAGGATTAAAAAAAAAAGAAGGTAGTTGCTTTGGGAGGGTTGTCATTTTGAGGCACATTGGGAGTCTTCTAGAGGAATGGAAATGCTTTGTTTCTGCCTATACAGGTATGGGTCAGTTTGCGAAAATTCATCTGCTCAATTCTGCACATGTGTTATAAAATAAAAAGTTTAAAGAGAGAACTATACTTATTAGCCTCTGTCTCATTCCATTTAGGCTGTTATAACAAAATACCATAGATTGGGTAGCTTATAAACAACAGGAATTTATTTCTCACAGTTCTGGAGGTTGAAAGTTCAAGATCAGGGTGTCCATAGGTTGAGCGAGGCATAGCGGGGAAGAACATCTGGCCCTTGGGCCATATAAGGTCTAAGAAATCAATACCAGCTAACATCACACACATCACCAAATTAGTCTCACCAAATATAGCAGGCTAATTTTTATGTTGATAATTTTATATGGCCCTCAGATGATGTTATAAATATCCAAATGGTCCTTGGCAGGAAAAAGGTTCCCCACTCCAGGTTACAGAAATTACATCTAGGTCATTGTGTCCTCACATGGTGGAAGAGGCTAGGGAACTCTGTGGGGTCTCTTTTTATAAAAGCACTAATCCTATTCATGAGAATTCCACTCTCATGACATAAGAATCTCCCAAAGGCCCCATATCCTCATACAGGTTGGGCATTAGCATTTCAACATGTGAATTTTGGGGGGATACAAACATGTAAACCATAGCAGCCTCTGACATGTGAAGTATATAGATGCCTCTCCCATATTGTGGTCTTACTTCCTTTAAATTGAGAGTTCCTTAATCGTATCCAGAGACTGAAGTTTCACAGTGGAAAAATCTCAAAAGTTCTAACAGATAGAAAAATACTTCAAGGTAGAGAACGATTCTTTGGTAAGTATAAAGAGATGTGACATACCCTAATGTCCAAAGCCAAAAGTTGAGATATAAAGACAATATCAAATATGTCAACTTAGGTATGTAAGACAAGTGCTAAAGATTTGATCTGATCTAATAGGTTACAATTTTTCAAACTAGTCAATTATATCTTTGGCTCTCAGGGACAGTGGAGGAAGGAAGATTGAAATCTCTAAGTAGAAGTTTGTATTTTATTCCCATTAGGTATCCAGTTACATAAAAAATTATGTATTAGAGCCCTGGCCAGTGTGGCTCAGTTGGCTGAGCATTGTTCCAGGCACCAATAGGTTTCAGTTGATTCCTGGTCAGGGCACATGCCCAGGTTGGAGGCCTCATCCCCAGTAGAGGACTTGTGGGAGGCTGCCCATCAATGTTTCTCTCTCTCACCCACCCCTCTCCCTTCCTCTCTCTAAAATCAATAAAAACATATTTCAAAATAAAATAAAAAAAGGTATTTGAGGGATTGAGAGTTGGGCTTTGATGAGGTCTCATAGCTAATGGGCAGTAAGTATTTATTGAAAAGGAGAGAGAAAAAGAAATAGAGGAGAAAACAGAGCAAGCAAGAAAATTCACAGCACATCATTCTAGTGCTTAAAATCATCACTGGCTTCCTACTGTGCTTAGAATAAAATCCAAGCTACTTTCTAATGACCTATAAGGTGCTCTCCAACTTCATCTACATATCCTTCTTTTCCTGTTCACTATGCACCAGGTACAGAGGCTACTGATATTTCCTAGAACACTTTTCCCCATCTCCCCTTTGCACTTGTTATTCCCTCTATCTGCACTGTTCCTAGCCCATCTCTTAACATATGGTTCCTTTTCATGTTCAGGTTTTTTGTTTTTGTTTTTTCAAATTGCAAGAGATAGTTTATTTAGAAAGTTACAGAGGTAGTAGAAATGAGCCAGCTGGGCTGCGTAGACTCAGGAAACAAGTTACAGAAGCAGAATAAGGGCGCTTGGAGCTTAGAAGAGGGAAAGGCAAAACTAATGCACTTAGAATGAAGAAAAGGGGTACTGGAAAGGCGCAGGCATGCTCCTGAGAGGGCAAGCATTGCATGTTCAGGTTTTAGCTACAATTTCAGTCCTTCAGAGAGGCTTTACCTAAATACCCTACCTAAACTAACACCCGTCCTACTAATTACTGCCTATCACACGGTTCTTTTTCTTTTTCTAAAGAGCAGACCTCTTTCTTTAAAAAAAAAAAGTTTTTATTAATTTTTTTAGAGAGAGATAGAAACATCGATGTGAGAGAGAAACATTGATTGGCTGCCACCTGCACGCCCCCCTACTGGGGATTGAGCCTGAAACTGGAGCATGTGCTCAGATCCAGAATCAAACTGAGACCTTGCAGTCCATGGGATGACGCTTAATCCACTGAGCCCAGCTTGACAATTTTCAATTCCTTGACAATATTCAAATCTGTAATTATTCAAAATTTTTTTTCTTTGACTGTCTTTTCCACTTTTCCTCTGAACCATTAAAATGTAAACTCTGGGCCAGCTGGTATGGCTCAGTGATTGAGCATCAACCCGTACACCAAGAGGTCACTGGTTCAATTCCTGGTTAAAGTACATGCCCCCAGTAGGGGGCATGCAGGACGAGGCCAATCGATGTTCTCTCTCACATAGATGTTTCTCTCTCTCTAAAATCAATAAAGGAAAAAAAAAATTTAATAAAAAATCAAATGTAAACTCTAGAGAGCAAGAAAGCCTCATGTGTCTTGTTTATTGCTGTATTTCTAATTGCTATACTTCTTTACATACAGCAGACATGCAATAAAAATTTCTAAATAACCAAATGAATTGCTAATGAAAGTTGAGGTTAGATTCACCTACAGGTCCATTTGTAGGTACAGTGTGACAATCATTACTCATGTTTCCAGATCTGTGAATCTGTCTACTTGCTAATATTTATTTGTAACCCCAAAAATCAATATTCCAAGTGCTTTCACAATCATCCATAGTCAGACACAGGGCAATAAATTTGAGTCACCAAATGCACGTATTTTCAACTAAGTTCAAGCAAGAAAATAATCTGCCTTATTTCAGCTCTTGTACAGTAAACAAGTGTCTTTTTTTAGTCCATTTGATGCCACTTCTTTGCATTTTTGTTGGTGATCTCACCATTTATTTTTATATTTTTAATCCTCACCGAGGATATTGTTTCATTGATTTTTGATAGAGGGGGGAGAGAGAGAGAGAGAGAAACATCGAATTAACAGAGACACATCGATTGATTGCCTCCTGCAGGACCTCAACCAGGGCCAGGGATCGAATTGCAACTGGGGTACGTGCCCTTGACCAGAATCAAACCCGAGACTCTTTAGTCTGCGGGAGGATACTCTAACCACAGAGCCAAACAGGCCAGGGTGGTGATCTCTCCATTTAAAATGGCCCCA